TGTGGTTTTTTTTTTGGGGGGGGGGATTTAAAGTGAATTTCCTTCAGTTCTCAGTACCTCCAATGCAAGGGTGTTATTGTGTTAGCCAAATGGCATGAGTCAGTTTCTTTGTGTTTTGAGCGATTGAAATCAGCATCTTTATTGCTCTGTATGCTTCCTGGGAAGTTAATAATGAATCTGGGTTGTGTTATGTGGTCTGCTGGTGGTAACAATAGTTGTAAAGTACATATAGCATGCTGTAGAGCGTAGTAATATACACTATATAAATCCAATTTTCATTATCATTACAAGCAGACTGGCATCTTCGCATATCGGGCGGGCAAGTTCATACTCGCTAAATCCACCGAACCACAAGCAAAGCTTGTTTTTTCCCCATACCCGTCTAATATATTGAATTTTCACCGCAACCTTCGCTTAATTCTAAATCCTTGCGTGCTTTCAGGATTGTGTGGTTCTTCAGAGTTCAAGTTAACTTTTTCTCTTTGGATGATTTCTTCACAGTCCAAATGAACCTTTCTTTCTTTCATTCTTTCTTCCTATCTTCCTTTCTTTCTTTCTTTCTTCCTATCTTTCTTTCTGTCTTTCTGTCTTTCTTTCTGTCTTTCGTTCTGACCTGGTACCGACCGAAAAAGTTTATTCTCCACAAGTATCTCCTTTCACTTCTTTCCTGCTCTCTAGCAATCCCTCACCTACTTTGCCCCTCCTCTGGGCTCCTGACTCTTTCTGCCGCCTTTTTACTGCTGCTATTTGGCTCCTTCTTACAGCCACACCCCTGATCTTCTGGTAGAAAAGATCAACACCTACCCTTCTCGGATAAAAGCGAAAATTCTCGGAGGGCTCATGTGCATATTGCGCACGTTAAAGATCCCTTGGTGGTCTAAAATCGTTAAGAGTAGGCTTCGGCGGCCACCCGGGCAAAATTCAAAATTTCCTACCCACTGAAAATGTTTTATGTACCCCGTGCGCTCATATGACCGTATGCAGTTGTGAGCGCCGTAAAACACTTACCAAAACAAACAAAACAAACAAACTAACAAACCAACAAACAAAGCAGTTTCCCGCTCCTTTCCAGGTCGCTCCTACACCATGGGGTGCATCATGCGTCGGATGCAACAACAGCTTCTTCACGGGTTGGCTTTTGAGCTATTCCAAGGGTTTAGTTACAGCTTCTATCTCGGTGCGCATGCGTGACGTCGTGCTGTGTGAGCTCATTAATTTGCTGGCTCCACGGGAGGCTGTCATCTAGAGCTACAAACCCTAGCATACGCGAGAAGCTGTGCAAAAACACGCCTTTCTTTGTCCCCGCATGCCCATCTCTATCCATTGATGTTTTGTGGTATGTGGTCAAAACAGAATGTGCAAAAAGTGAGAGGATTAACATAATTAACTTGGTTTTGTTTTTGTTTTTGTTTTTGTTGTGGTTTTTTGTGTAGCAAGGTCGTGTGTTTACACCCCCATTAACATAATTTGGATCCTTGGGCAGACGTGCTTTCTATTCTGTCTGTCAGAGACATTCTAGGCTGAAAGGTATACAACATCCCAACAGAAAGGCCGAGATACCGGAATAAGGTTTCTCCCCACTATTTAGCATCGCTAATATTATCTCTCCAAGAAACTGATTGGTATATCTAGTGGTTAGACTCTCAAACTCGCAACTGTAAAGTCATGGGTTCGTATCCTGTTAGGGGCCTACCGTTGTGTATTTGGGAAAGGCACCTTAGACGAATTGTCCTCATTTCACCTAGGTGGGAAAAGCTATACCCTGCTATAGACAGTGAAAAATCTTGTCAGTTTGTTTTTTATTTGAGCACCTAATCAGCTGCATGCACAGTATGCTTCCCGGGAAGCTGATAATGTTTCTGAATGTTGTATGGTTTGCTTGGAGTAATAATTTAGTTTATAGCGCGTAGAGCTAGAGATTGCTGTTGAGCTGGGATATGCGCAGTACTTCATGATATTTATTATCAACATTGTTATGATTGTACTGTCTATTGTGAAAGCAATTTATTTCCCATCCGGTTCTTATCATTGACAACAAGATGTCAGCAAATAATTCAACATGTGAACCCCTGATGCTGAGACCGGAGGTCTACAGCGTTGACCTACATTTCTTGTCGATGGTGTGAACCTTCCATATATTTTTCCTAATTATCTGTCACCAAAGGGGCCATACCTTAGCCATTAGCCATGGGTCCAGACATGTCCCCCCCCCCCCCCCCCCCAAGGAACATAATTCTATTATGAGGAACCTGGCGGTCTCCCGAGAGCAGTTTGGTGACCGTAAGTACATCGGTTTTGAGAGAGATATGATTTCCAAGACCCCCTACACCTGCGAGACAACAAATTTAGTTCAGAGCCGATTTGAGCAAAATTGGGTCGAGTGTAACAATCGGGAGATATAAAATCAGAGTGAAAGAGGAGAGATAGAAAAACAACCAGAAAAGAAGAGAAAGTGAGAGGAGAGAGAGAGAGAGAGAGAGAGAGAGAGAGAGAGAGAGAGAGAGAGAGAGAAAAAGAGAGAGAGAGAGAGAGAGAGAGAAAGAGAGAGAGAGAGGGAGGGAGAAGGAGAGGGAGAGGGAGAGGGGAGGTGGGAGAGAGGATAAAAGGCAATAGAGAGAAAGTTAGAAGATGTGAAAAAAGTAAAAGATCAAAAGAAATGTAAGGAAACAACAAACTTAAAAAGGGAAAAGGGGGTAGGGGGCAGGCCGGAGAGAAGAGATGAATTTAACAACAAGAAAAGAGAAAAGTTGTAGATTGTTATCTGAGTTAAAACTCTTAACAGTAACAGTATCAATATAGGTTCAAAGGACGAAAAATAAATAAAAACGAGGATTTCTGAATTTCCTACAATTTTGAAAAATACGTCACCTGTCGAAAAGGCTGATCATGAATACATCCCTTCCAAACCCCCATTTGTAATTTGTATCGATATGGCTAAATGAAGCATTAGCAGTGAAATTGAAGGCTCCCTACTACCAAATATTTTACATAACAAGAAGGTTCTTTCAGCCAAAAAAGTGTCCGCGGAAGTCCGCGCATTGGTTCAGATCGAACTGCAGTCTTTGTTTTCAAGCTCTCTTTCGTTTCTCAAGAAGAAGAATAGGAATAGCACCGCCTTGCGCATCAGCTGTACCGGTTCACTACGTGCGGAGTTTATTTTAGTTCAATGACCGCTCGCCTCTCATTCTAAAGCTAAATTAAACGACGAAAACAGTCAACCCTTTCACCCGAAGAGGATTTTTGTCAGCGTTACCATTTTACAAAAGCGTTATTCCGAAATTTTAATTCTAATTTACACAAAACGTGTTAGTTTCACTTAGATTTTTTTCTCACAAGTAGGGTTACTCTGTTCGCAAAGCGGACGCTTTTTCGAAGAGATTTTGAGGACACTTTTTTAATTGGTTCAAAGAGAGGCGTGAATCATCTTGTTATAAAGAATCTTTGCTACTACCAAAAATCGTACATAACCAAAGTTGCATTAGTACATTGTGGGACACAAGCCTACACATAGTCTGACATCTAATGTGCACACCCTCGCGTCTCCAGACAATGGCATAGACCGAGCAACACCCTCCCCTTCTTTCCCAAAATGTACTCCCGCCACAGCCGTTTTTCATGGTTGTCAGTGTTTATGTTA